TTAATTAACACTATTTAAATAGGATTTAAAAGGTTACAGATCATTTCTAGCATAATATTTCGTTATTTTCTCCATAGAATACATTAATTAGAATTTATATAGAGTATTGATATTTATAAATAAATATATAAGTAAATATTTGGCCATTTTTAATACATATTATGAGACATATTTGATATCTAATAAATACATATTCTGAGCAGCTTTATTGATTACTCTTATGATCACATGTTTTGGTAATTCGGGATCCGTTTCTTTCTCTGATATCAAAGTCTGACCAATACGTGGTAACTGTTATTACGATAAGTTTATAACCATATGACTAATTTGAGGTAGAATGGGGCTCAAGAAAATAGAACGTGATTAGTGAATCACCAATGTAATTTTTAAACTATAATTCATGATAATCGTTACTATATTTATAGTTATTTTCTCCCCTAATTATAAATGAATATTAAAAATGAATGTAAAAATAGTATTCATTTTTTAAAATAAACGATTTATTCAGGTTTATAATAAACCCCAATTTTAAATTATTGTACACTATATATGACTAATACATGAATAGAGTATAAATTACAAAATACTCTTCTATCAAATTGACACAATTGTGTAAATAAAACCGGTGTTGAATTGAATTGAACTATTGTAGTTATGAATTTATTAAAAATAATTTTATAACTAACTCTAGAAAAGAGTCAAATAGACGAGTGATGGGATCAGTCGCTGGTGTCATAACACATATAAACCCATCGATATAACTGATAATTTGGGATACGAACCAATGGTCATCTCTTTAGTTAGCTGTTCTGTTTACTTTCCCATTCGAGTTGTATGAATAGGAATTAAAGATTAAATTAAAGAAAATTTAAAATCATTGCATCACCCAAATTGTGATTAACGCAAAGCATCGCTGTGTAATATTTGTTTATTAAAATTTAGCGTTAATAACTGACCTTCATATTTAGTCTAACTATAATTATGTACAAATATGCCGTTTGCTGAGTTCCCGCTACATAACCACGAAATCAATGGGTACCGCAGTTAAGCCCTGCAAAACAGTAAGGAATACGAGACAAAGAAGAAACACAAGTAGACCAATACACAGCGGGCGGCCGCGTTCAGCGTTAATGATAAAGTGCTATTGTCTTATAGTGAAAAGTAATGTTTAAACTCTTTGATCCCTATATAGTGTCAATACCTTCTCTTCAGACATTCATAAACCGAAAGCTTAATGGGAAGAGGGCTTCAACGAAGGTCTCAAGAATATAAAGGGGCGGTCAATAAATCTCCAGCATGGAGTTTTCTTTATATCTCTTAAACTACAAGAGATAATCTGATTCTGTAAAAGTATTTACAGAATATTCGCAGAACCCGTTAGACACTCAAACACCCGCAATGATATGTTGTATGAGTGCCAATGCCTGTACCAGTGTTCGTGCCTCACAACAAACAATTAAATAATACGCGATTTGATTTAATAATAATTCAAAATGTTCATAAAATTTTTGTGTAATTGTGGCAATTTTTCAGGTTTTTAAAAAGATATTTTCCCTTGAGAATTTTAGTTCCCATGCCATTTATATCTTCCGGGATTTTCCCATTTTTTGGGAGGAAAAATAAGGGAAAATATATATCTTCCCTTCCGTAATGAACCTTACTCATATTATACTTATGCTATAGAATTAGCATTACCGATATTATTCCTATGCTATAGATTTACGCTGTAATCACATAGAAACCCATGTTAACGCTCCCCATGTTAAAGTATAGCCATAGTCTTATCATTGCCATAGACTTAGCATTACCCATGTTAATCCTATGCCATATACTTAGCATTAACCATATTAATGTATAGCCATAGACTTAAGCTGACATCTCATGTTAAATCCCATAGAGCGGGGGGCTGGGATCTATATTTCTTATAGTTTGACCAACAACATTAATCAAAATTACCCCATATTTTGTATTCCACGCGACCAAAATATATTAATAAGCTATCCAATAGATCTTGCATATATGGCGCTCTTAAATGCTTTTTACAGAATCAGATTATCTCTTGTAGTTTAAGAGATATAAAGAAAACCTTATGCTGGAGATTAATTGACCGCCTCTATATAAATGGAGATTTCGATGCCCGGGATTTTACTCTATAGTTAGAAGAGTCGCCTCCGGGCAGCGCCCAGTGCTGTCTCTACCGCCGTGAGAGGAGGAGAAGCGGTGTGGTATGTAAAGCCCAGGAGTGCATAATAATAACAATAACTTAGGTGTGAAGGGCAGACACTTTTGTTTCTTTAAGATTTTATGTAATACACTATCAGTTTTAAACGGAAGAAACCCTTCACTGAGACGACTCACAATACACTGATTTTAAGTTAGTTTGAATCAGTGCTACATTTGTAGACTTCTTAGTGTATGAGAAAGTTTATTAAACACTAACACAAAGAAATGAATCCGAGTGTAATTATTCTGAATAATTTGGGAAATGATGCGATAGTGACCGCACTTATGGCTCCCAATGGCAACGTCGCCGCTCCGTTCGGCGAAACGGTGGTCCGATCGGGTGATGGCCTCACATTCCTTCGGGTGCGCTATAACGTCATAAGTGAGAGAATTGCGGTCCCGTCGCACAACTTCAGCGCAGGGATAGACGAGATGTGGACCGAACGCGCCATGCATTGTGGTCTAGGAGGACGTCCCCCGTTTGTGAGTCAACCCCTGGTCCCCCTCCCGGACCCGCATCTAATGGCGCCTTTCAATGGAGTTAGAGGACCCGCAGCCGGCCCTTAGTAGCCCTGCATCGGGCCTTATTTGTAAGCCCCACTCAACTGATGGCAAACTTTAATCAATTAGTTTTTATATAAAATTTTTTCGTACTTTATTTATAAAGTAACCACTATTTTGTGCTATAAATGCAAAATAACTTTATTAACAATAAATCACTTTTTGTCGATGTCTTGTAATTGTTGTTCAAATTCATCGCTCAACAGTTTGTTGGGATCAATGCCGTCGATGTCCTGATCGGCGCTCACGTGTGTCTCACTTCGATCGCCTCTCAACTGGTCCTGAATGTCGTCAGGAATTATCATAAACTTCATTGTGTTATCCGTTTTAATCTTTTTTTGATTCAATTTTGCAAATCCTTTCAATTGTGTCTCAAATTTAGTATAAATCGCTTCCTTTTAGTTACGAAACAAAAACTTATTTTAAATATTAATAACTTTAAGAATTCACTAAATAATGGGTTAATTACCAGAAGTTTGGGATCTTTTTGAGGATTTGTCACATGAATAGAGATGTGATGTCCTCTAGAAGTCCATCGTTTCGTTGCATTAATTTTAGTCAACAAATCGTTTTCATCGACTTTTGTGGAAAACACCAAACGTTTCATTTCTTTGACACCTTTGCTATGAATCGACTCATTCTTCTTGAGATCGTTTGTGTCATCCGATGGCAACTGATTGTCACTCAACTGGTCGTCCATTTGTGCCAATTGTTTGTTTGAAACCAAACGAAACGATTGGTATTTATGTTTTGTCTCCGATTTGTCTTCAATTAAGTTTAGTTTCAATTTATGCGCCAATAGTTTGGATTCAGTCATGGATTTGATGCCTAAGATGTGTCCGCTTTGATCCTTAAGAGTGATCTTCACTTTCGACAACTCTTTCTCGTCTTTGGTTTCAAAGTTTTTCGTGTTATTCTTCTGCGGTTTTTGCGATAAATATCTGACAACACATCCACTTCTGGAGCGACAATGCAATGCAATGCCATCCAAAGCGCAAAGTCTTCTCACAACACATGCCATTAAATTAGACATTATTTAACACAACATTAGTTAGCATTCATTTAAACCACTTTTTAACACATTTTTAATAACAATAATAATTGTTTGCGTTTTAAAAAGTTTTGTTTACTTTTAGTTGAGATATAACTGAATGACAGAATTGGCGAACGGGAGGGGAATCTCACGTTTGATGGCCTTTGCATTCAGTTTCTATTCAATGTGTAAAATATGGGCTCAAATTCGGGCGTTTAATCGTAACGTTGTTTACGAACAGCTGTTGTCATCGGAAACACGATTTGTTGTTTTGTAAACACAAATAGTTTTTGACAATTGGTTTGAATTGAGTGTCAAATGAATAGTGAAAACAAGTGTTAAAATGTCTGTCAGTGTTAGCAGTGATTGCGTTGAGTGTGAGATAAAGACACCCAAAAGAGTGGTTCACTTCAGCGATGGTGTTGTCGAGGAANCAAGTGTTAAAATGTCTGTCAGTGTTAGCAGTGATTGCGTTGAGTGTGAGATAAAGACACCCAAAAGAGTGGTTCACTTCAGCGATGGTGTTGTCGAGGAATACGAGTCCAGCGGTGATGAAGACAAGGAAGTGATGGCAACCAAAACCGATGACACGAACAATGAAATGGTTTCGTAATATATTTGTATTGATTTGAATTGATATTAAAATTGAATTGATTTGTAACCAAAGAGTTGGTCAACCGTTTCGCACGTCAAGAGGTCTGTCCTCTGGTTCGGCGCTCAGAGTCTCAAAGTTTGCGATTATTTGGGCGAAAATTTGGCCAATTTTTTGGGCATAACTTCTCCTAAATATGAATCAGAAATCAATGAATACATGAGAAGACGAGACGCCGAAGAGATGCACCGCAAGAAACAATTGGATCAGTTCGCCGGTTGGAGTCCATCCGATGCCAACACAACGCACACCAATTGTGTCGACACTAAAGACATCCCCAGAAATAATATAGATTTAGAGAAACAAAGATATTAAACAAAATATGACATCAATTGGTGTTATATTTGCCAACTATTTCTCATTTACACAGTATTTGACAAGTAATGCCATTTTTGATGGCATTTTTACTTTTATTTATATGTTTATAAATTTATTAAATAGCTTTATATAAATGCATACAATTTTTAAGAATTGCAATGAAATAAATCTATGCCAATATATATACTGTAATTGTAATATTGTGTGATCACAAGAGCGGATCCACTCGCATGTGGACATTCTTGTAACCAGTGATGAATGAGTTGGGGCGCAAGTAGTAGTCATAAACGATTACCATTTCTCCAATTTGTTACGAATGTGTTAATTGGAGTGATTACTCAATTGTGATAAACCAATGTTCGTTTGTTTGGTTACTAATTGATAGCAAATTTCAATTCAGACTAAAAATTTTATTACTCTTAATATTTGTTATAACAATAATAGTTACAGTACTTTATGTTTAAATTAATTTTGTAATAAATATAAGTTAATCATTTGATACAAATCACTCGCTTATCACAAGCCTATACTCTCTATACTTTGTTTATTATTCAATAAATTAGATTTTTAAATAAATGGTCAATTAATTAGACTTTTAGATGTGTTGGTCATTGCAGACAATTCAAGGAATGAATCAATTGTTTTGCTTTCAATCTTCAGCTTGTCTTCCATCTGAACAAACAATTGAATGAATAAATAGAAATTTGAGAATTACTACCAAATGCTTACCTGTTGTCCAAACTCTTGGACATCGTAATAGATCTGAAGGCGAATCTTGTCGTCATCTGACATGTTATGTAAGTTATTCTTCGACACATTGTTTTGATTCCCAATTTTAGCCTTTTTGAGTCGTTTAAGACTGTCTTCAATCTTCTGAACGGATGTCAACACTTCTGAAGTGTATTGTTTGTAATGAGAGGTTATTTCGTTCAATACATAACGAGTCCATTCAGTCTTCCAAACCTGCGTTTGACGAGAAGTGATTGAAAATATCAAATCAATGCAATGATTGATATAATTGGACGCTTTAGTGGGCACTTCTTTGTTGGTCTTCCTGTAAAGTCTCGGCACATCATTCACTTGTCTTAGTATTGAATCGCATTGTCTTATAAGACACGACTCCATCAATACGACAACATTTGATAAGCCGTTTGATTCAAGCAATTCAATCGATTCCTCAAACATTTGCTGCAATTCGTCGCGATTTACGTGAAATGGTTTCAAACAAATAATATTTGCCGCAAAAAACTCTTTGGATTCGTTAATAAAACATTTGCAGTCATTGATAAGAAATCCTAATAAAGCTGTTGTATTTGAGAGTCGATTGTTTTGTGTGTTTTCATATGTATTGGTTTTGATATCAGATTCCTTCAGATTCTGTAACCAAAATGAATACCGACTAAACAATTGGACAGTAATTCTCCAAAAGGATGGAAACAGAGCTGAGATATAAACAGTTTGTTGAGACCAACACATTGACAAACACTCGTATAAAATGTTTGTCACCAAATATTTGAATTTATTGTCTGTATTTTTATTATTATTAGATCCAAAGGGATGTTCTTCGAGTGCGGACTCGAATTTAGTGGCCATTTGTTGGAACCGAATGTGAAAATATACCTCAACATTGAATTTACTCATTAACTCTTTGTAGCTCTCATTGTCTTCTAATTCGTCTCTTTTTATCTGACTTTTAGTTATAAAACGATCGATAAATTCAATTGTGAGACAATATTGAGAGTGAAATACATCGGGATTTCCCACTGAGAAGAGGGACGGAGTTCTGACGACAAGACAATTGGATACTTCACTCCAAACAGAGTTAATCATAAATGAATAATTAGTTTCACTTGTATTGACAATTAGCGCACACTTTATATCAATGAACTCAAGAATTTCATCAAACAATTGGTTGATTCCGTACTTATGGAGGAATGCCTCACAGATTACTTCATCCATATATGGTTTGACCACTTTTTGTCGAAACATATTTTCGATTTCGTTTTGTTTTCCGTTCAATGAATATATTCTTAGTGTTGAATTGAATTCTTGGGAATCATTGTCAGTGATTGCCGTAAAGAATCCCAATTCAAGTCTTTGTCTCAATTCACTAGATATTGATTCAATTCGAGGAATCAACTGTTGGTTCACTAAAGGTATGTCCAAATCAATGGTCTTTAATTGCATATCAATTTTGATTATAATTAATACTATTTTCTCGATTGAAGACAAACTTTTTTTGCGATTATCGCTATTTATATAACAATCAAACCATTGCTCCGCCCTTTCGATGCCATCCATAATTGAAATCAATTTATTTAATTGACTCTTATTTGTGCGAATAGTGTCCAGTCTTTTCATTTTGATCTCCAAGTGTTGGATCCGTTCACTGAATTGGTGTTCAATACTAAACGATTCATCTCTTAATTGAATCAAAGGTTGCGACAAATTGTTGATCGCTTTGTCGAAACCCATTAGATTTGTGGACAAATTGACAAAATCGTTGTAGTCTTCATTGATCAGCTCAACCATCGATGTCTTCAGCACTCGTAAGTATGCGCTCAAGTGATCTTTCAGCGCTTCCAACGACACTTTCGATCGGTTTGTCTTCACAAACAAATCAATTGAAAACGACTCGTCGGCGAAGTCTTCGCGACTGAAACTAAACGATTTGTCCGCTTCTGGCAACACATCGACCGACAGCTGATCCGACTCTTCCGCCACTTTATCGGCCGACATGTCAGTCATCGACGGCTCACTCTTTATGGCAAATAAGTGTCACTCAATTGAAGAGTTTGTCATAATTTAGTTGTTTTTATAAGTGATTCAAAGACCGGCTGTGAATGGCATTACATTTGACAACACATCACATCATAAACACTGTGTAATCAACACTAATGGTAGACATCTATGCAGTCATTCAACACTTCATCTCTAAATTTATTTGACTTACACTTCAAATGTGATTGAAATACCCGTTCACTGCATAGACCTCTACTCCAAACCATAAGACATGTGTAAAGTGTAATACACGTGATAACTATAACAATCATTAAATTGTCACTCAATTGATCCAATTGTGTAGTCCTTGTGGATTTACCACGCCATTACTGCCCAGTTAGCCTCAGTCTCAGCCTTAGTGACCTTCACTTACAAAACCACTGTTTACTCTGCTTCTCAACACACTTCTCTTAAGCCCTAGTTAAGCACACGAGAATAGATGACTGCAACGCTGTCTTCAATCGACTCTATCGTCTCAATAGACACTTAAGACGACATTCAGGAGAGGTTTGTATTCATCCAGACTTACCATTCAATTGATTGTCTATTTTTGCACTCATTTTAGAGACCATTTGTTTGTCCAATAAGTGGTTGTTTTCGTGCCTTTAGTTGTAAATCATATCTCACTAAACATCTTAAAAGACCGCACAATACGGACAATGCGGACAAAGCGGAAGAATTGGTCCAATCGAGTGACGCCAAAGTGAAGAAGTGTTACAAACAATACGTCTGCAAAGATTGCGACAAAGTATTCAAAACCAAATTTCAATTCAAAATGCATTGTTTCCAACACTCAGGAGTGAAGCCCTTTGAGTGCGACAAATGTGACCAACGGTTTGTCACTAAAGCCAAACTCAAGAGTCATCTGAAGACACACGACGGCTATGCGTGCGCTCGAGAGGGATGTGATTACAAGACATTCAAATGGAGTGAATTGCGTAAACATATCGCAGTCTTTCATAGAGTTTACCTTAAATGCGATTCTTGTGATAAACTCTTTAAGAATTCATTTAATCTTCATTTACACCAAAAGAATATCCATTTGAGTGAAAACCACAAAATTGTCTGCACTTATGCTAATTGTGGCAAATCATACTCTAATGAATCCAATCTTAAGACTCATATTAGAACCACACATGAGAAGCAACTCTTTGAATGCACTCAAGAAGGATGTGATAAGACTTTTCTTCACAAGAAGTCATTGGCAAAGCATTTGGAGACTCATTCAAAACCTCTAATTATAAAAGTTTGTCGTTTTTATCATTTTAATTATTTTTAATCTAAATTTTTATTATAATTTTAGGCCAAAAACGCGGATAAAATATACCGAAAGAAAAGAAGCGAAGCCTCGAAATTGACATCAATTGCATTGAATGAAAGCCAAACCAAACAAATACTAGACTTTGACTTTGAGTTTAGAAATGAAATTTTGAAACAAAAATGATTATAATTTTCGTTACAATTAAAGAACAATTAATTTATTAAAATTAGATTTTATTTAAAATAGATATATCTTTGGATAAAAATATAACCGCTTTATAAATATTGAAATAAATAAAATAGATTTTAATTAATTTGTAAATCACTTTAGTCTCAAATTTGATGGATTGCACCAAAAGTTAATTGATTGGTAAGATCTTCGCCCGAAACGGTTCCGTGTATTGGTTGACAATTGGGATTGAAGACAGAATAGGCACTCAATTCGCCCTTTCGTTTGGATCTATTCCTCAGATTCGTGCAAATGAAGACCAATAGAGAGATGGAGAAGAAGACGGCACCGAATTGGACCAAATAAGCGATCGTTTGACACGTGATGTAAATCAAGACTTTCAACGATATCACCAAAAGCTCGTATTGACTGCAATCAAACACATTTGTGTCCACCTCTTCGTCGTCGACCATAATATTAGTTGATTGCGACAATTCCTCCGATTCGCTGCCATTATCATCAACACTTTCAACGATATCACCAAAAGCTCGTATTGACTGCAATCAAACACATTTGTGTCCACCTCTTCGTCGTCGACCATAATATTAGTTGATTGCGACAATTCCTCCGATTCGCTGCCATTATCATGCGCTAGCAATTGCATCATTTGTTCTTTATTATCACTCATTGGATCCGTTGAAGTGATGTCTTCTCGAGGTCTGACTCTTTGGCGAATTGAGTGCCAAATTGTGGACACATTTAAGGAGTCATTGGATTCTGACTTCACTTTCTTTGACCGAAATTCAGATAATTTGGACTCAAAATTATCACTCATTGGTCTTAATGTGGAAAAGCATTCAAACCATTCAATTGTCACTTAAATTCAATTTCAAAATCAAATTATTTAATAACAAATTGACGTAACATTAAAAGCAATGCTCTGTTATATAGTCTGACAACAGATGACAATAGTGTCTAAGTGTGTAAAAAGGGACCAAATATTGGAGCGAATGTAGGCTTGTTTTGTACACAACTCTTATGCCGTAGTTTTGGTACTTTTAAATGTAAAGTCAATGATTGACACCATTTGTCAGCTATTTTTGAATTTGTGTTTTGGTTTGTATTTTGCAAAACAAACGACACTTTTGTTGTCAACAAATCAAATGAAAACACAATTAATGCCATTAAATGTTTGAGTAATTGATTTCACGGCTTATATATCTATATATTGGCGAAGAAGTGGTTACAAAAGATGTCTTCAGCTGAGAGTAAGTGTTGCAGAAGACGTGTCAAAAGAGGTGACGATTGGACTGAATGTGTGATACAATTGGACAACGGATTGATGACAAGGGATGTGACGGCAAGACTGGTCACCGAAATGATGAAGTATTTGCTGTACGACAGACAACAGATCCCATTCCCTCTGACCAACTCTCAGACATTGCATCACTTGAACGCTAAGGCCGTCAGCAAAGAGTTGTCGCCCAAAGAGGAACTGCTTTTGGCGACGATTGAAGAGTTGGACAAAGTGTTCAATGAATTGATTTGTTTAATGAGTTGTACAGACATTGCCGTCGATTGTGTTTCGCTATCTTTGGGCCAAACGTTACAAATGCCTAAAGAGTTGTATTGCATAGAAATGCCGGCACAAG